CATTGAAATCATCAAAAATTAAAACTACTCTACATAAAAAAAAAATTAACACATTTTTCAATTTAATGTTTTCAGTAACATCTTTATATCTAATGCTTTTTCATTCAACATAGATCGTGTATTGGCTAACTTTGATAACATAGCATTATATTTTGAACTTACATTTTTGTACTTATAAAGTTCAGCTCTCCACAGTTTATACAATCTCATGCTTGAGCTTTTCAAACGTTCAGCTGATTCTTTAAGAAGATTTGCCTGTTTAAAATTATCATGAAATACGAGTGAATTTTTTTGAATATCATTTAGTTTTGAAATTAGTAATGGCGAACAAGCAGTCATTTTTATTTTCGGTGCTGGTATATCATAATTGACACAATTAATTGATTGGATTAACGTGTCGTTTGTTTGCTTATCCATCATAGCATTTCGTATGAAATCCAAAAATTCGCTAACTTTGGTATATATTGCTGGTTCCCGAGACTCATCGCACCCAAATGGCGATGTACTCACGATTCCGATAACTTTGCTTCTCACTGTAAGAGGACTGCCACTATCACCCTGAATATACATATAAATATAAATATACATTATACATACTGAACTCCAACTTATTATCGTAGAATATCCGATATTAGAACTAAATACGTTAAACTAAATTTTTTTTTGTGACCCAAGTACACCCGGACAAACATAAGATCATATTATGGTCTACTATTTTTAACTTGTAGGTAGCATGAAAGAAAGACAATATTCAATCTTAATTTTGATTCACAATACTACGTTGATGATTGTGATAGTATTAGTTTTTTTGGTTAAAATTATTAAAATGGAACTATTTACTAAAAAAGATCTAGCCTTATACCTCGCAAACACCTTGTCGAGCCCGCAAACCATTTTTTATCTGTCCACACAACCAACTTGGATGAAGGTCTGCACCACACGTCTTTGGTTCTACAAATTTCACTTCTTTCCGTCTTAGTTTCTCCTTTGAGGTATAACCATCCTTGCCATAACCAGAAACATACATCTTTTCCTTTGAGAAATCTTCATTTTTCCCAGGTAATGATGCCAAACGAATACTCTTAGGCAGAGTACCTCCAATACCAAAACTTTTATCAAGCTGGAGAACAGTAAGAGTATTTATGTAGTAATTTGATTTGTCGTCAAGAAAAAACCAATATTAGTTTTATACCTACCCTCAAAACAGCGATGTCATTCAAAATTTTGCCATTATTTAATTCACGGAATCCCTTGTGGAGATAAACTTTTGTTACAGATCTAGTGTGTGAGTGATTATTATTAACGTTATAAGATCCAGCAACGACCTTGTATGGTTCAGGATCCAGCAAATGGTTTTTGTCATCGTAAAAGCAATGAGCTGCCGTCAAAACTATATCTAGAGCAATTAATGATCCACCACAAAAGGGTTTGCCATACGATTGTAACGAAACTCTGAGTTTTTTAAATACTTTTGGTGTACGTTTGTTTCCATGACTATGTCTTATTATAGACGTAGTAGCTGTATAGAAAAATGCAAATAATGAAACTTTTTTTTTAAATCACTGTTGCGTTTTAAGATTGACATTTTTATAATGACTAAATTACGTTACGAAAACATTAATAGTATTTTCTAAGAAACAATTCACGTTTAACTCTTTATTTATAGGACAGATACATCAAACTCTGGGGTATTGCACAAGTTTTTTCAAAATTGCGTTAATAAAAATTTTAACAAGTTGTTATTTTTTTATAATCATACACTATACATTTTATACCGTATGTTGCATTAGTTTTATTTTACACTAACTCACCACTGCTAAAAAGCACAAGAGATATTCCCAAAATAGTGGATAGACAATTGAACTTCATTTTAGAGACTTAAACTACACTCGAGAATAACTCCAACAAGAAAATTATTCTTAAGTAAAAAAATGCCACGTTCAATTACTATTTATACAAAAATGTACGAGAGACATAAACTATTAGAGTAGGAGAGTTGATAAGAATTTAAAAGTAATGATCAACTAGTGACCAAATTACTAAATAAAACTATTTTCTTAGTTTAACAAAGGCATGACTGTACTCTCAAGATAAAGTAAAGAACGGTAGTCTATCGTTTTTTTTTTGTATCCATTTATCTACAATACCTACTTATTATCTGCTAATGTACAAATTTTTTTATATCACACTAAGCGTAAAGTTCGTACTGTTCTCCCTGTATACAGGGACAGAAACTGTGTAATAAGTGCGTGTACGCATGCGTATCTATATCTTACTGTATATTACTATATACATAAACCAATAAGTGCCTGAAGTAGTTCGGTGCTCGAACATAGCGAGGGCGCCACACTGCAGTAAACAAACAAATTTGGGAAATATCAACAAGATAAAAGAAGCCAATGTACTGTTTGCTGGTGTATTTTATACAAAAAAAAACATGAGATTCTGAACAAATGGAAATAATTAAAATTGTTATACAATTTTCTTTGTTCACACATTTTTAAATAATAACTGCATTTTTACAGTTCTTCATTTTTATCAATCTTGTATAATAAACTATTGAAATTATTACATTTCGAAACACATTCATTAAAAGAGTTAAATAATTAGGTCCTTGTTTTTATGCTTCCATTGTAAGAATCGAGCGTATGCATATTCATATAATGCTCTCGATTTTATGGGAAGTAAATTTTGAACAATGGCATTTCGTTGACAGTCAAAGTCTCTTCCTTCCCCTACTTTATCCTCGTTAAAGTTTTCTTCGTCAGAAGAATCCTCTTCGAACATGACTGTCGAAACTGTTGCCATATTTTATACAAAAATACAGGAATGTCCTAAATATCACAATCGGAAACAATTATAAAAACTCTTGTGATATAACCTATAACCACACAATGAATGGCTTGTTTTCCTTCTATCTCTCTCCCTCTCAATGCAACGAACTTTCCACTGAGTGTGATATAAAAGTGTATACGCACCGCGAGACTAAAGCAAGCCAGCGAGTGGCTATTGCTTGTAGCGCCCTCGCTACGCTCGGGCGCACACTACAACAGCCACGAACTGGCTTGCTTTAGTCCCTTGGTACGTAATATACTATTTTTGTGTACAACCATGGTTCCAGTTCTGTAATATCTTAGCATAAGCCTTTCAAATTTTTCGACCTATTGAAGGATAATCAACCATTTAAGGACGTTGCCCTGTTTATGAAAATGATTACAGAACTTGACGAAACTTGAAAGTATGATAGATTAAACCATTCTGAACTCGCACACGTTTTTTGGGCATACCTTATAATACTAAAAAAAGAGAAATATGCGGTCTATGATAAGCAGTTTAACACTGTTCTTATGGGACAGCGATTGAAATAACCTTATAAAACCTGTTAGAAATAACAGAAGTGAGAAATATTTTGTTAATAATTAAAAAAATATTTTATGATTCCACCCTCAAAGTTTGGAGCCATGTTATAATGCTTTTTATTAAGATATCAATGAAAATAGTAACGAAAAAAGATGTTTGAAGGTTAACGTGGCAACACCGTATCTTAGAGAAAACGAAGGAGAGAGCGGGACATTGGCGGCACATTCAAATGTACCTCATGTGTGATACTGAATCTACAGCAAGTTACTAATACCTAATAATAAACAGCGATCAGCTGTATCTAGTATACATTCTTTTACCCCATATGTAAGTATACTTAACAACAGCCGGCGGTGTTGCCAAGTTTAGATTCTACGTCGATAATACAGGTAACTGGTCAAGACGAAAAGATCCAGGGCAACGTCCTTAATTTGTTACTGAATAAACTTAAGGAATAAATTTTCCAAATTTAGTACATTTTTCAAGTAAGAACAGCCTTACGTTATACCATCCGAATTTTCATTTGGTTTGAATTTTTACCATTCAATTGGGAGAAATATGGAACTTGTATCGTAAAAACATGGGACTTCTAAATAAAATTTAACGGAGAATTTCTACGAAATGTTTCAGCTTTAAAATAAAAAAATTTTTCTGCAAACAACTTCTGTTAATGAAAAATCGTATATTTTTGAAGCTTAATTAAAATTATTGAAACACTTAAATACACTTTTGAGATAATTGTAATAGAAAAACACTTTAATAGGTCTAACAGCATGTCGTTTCTTAATTAATTGCTTCTCAAACCTTTTCTCCTAAGTTTTAAAAAACGACGTTTTTCAAACGTATTTTAGAGATATTAATCTATAATATCGCGTAAAAAAATCGATGTTTATAAGTAATCCGCATATTTTTTTCAATTCAAGTTTTTGTTGAGTGAGTAAAATTTTGCCTGTGCGAATAAATGAATTTGGCTTTCTCGGAGTAAGTACCTTTTTAAAGTTGTTATTACGGTTTCTTTTTATTTAAAAAAATTAGTTTTTTTGCTGTTTTTAGAGTAAAAATAATCAATTTAGTTTAATGATGAATAAGCCTTTCGTTTATTTTGAATTATTTCTTCCCGTTCTATTATTCATTTTTCGAGTCAAGTTCGAGAATTTTCTTAAAGAATGAAACATTTGACTGATTCCAGTAAAAATTAATTAGAATGTTTTTTTTTTTAGTAAATTTTTAAAAATAAGTTTATACTTTGTTTTGAGAATTGTCAAACACTTAACAACCAACAAAGCACCTGCAGTACTAGTGTAGAAAATTGCCACCTAAATGGAAAAATGTAGCATTGCATTAACGCAAATAAAGTAATTGTTTGTGAGATAAATATTGCGCATTAAAGTAATTTAACATTATAAAGTATAAAAAATCTTCATAAATTTTGTGCCAAAGATGAATGACAGAGTAAAGTATAAAACTGAGCATTGTAAAGTACCTTTTTTCGCGTCAAAACGGATCATAAGATGTTGCGTTGATGTGCAACGCCTTACTTATTGTACGCATATTCTCATTGTGGTTCACCAGCTAGCGATTCTATGTCACTTATGTAACGTATTTATTTGAATTTCATTTTTTTCGTTTATTTTCTGGAATCATACAGGTTCTAATATATCTATTTCGGCATGAGCTACATTTTCCGACCAGAAATAAGAGAAAACAGCGATGTCATTCAAAATTTTGCCATTATTTAATTCACGGAATCCCTTGTGGAGATAAACTTTTGTTACAGATCTAGTGTGTGAGTGATTATTATTAACGTTATAAGATCCAGCAACGACCTTGTATGGTTCAGGATCCAGCAAATGGTTTTTGTCATCGTAAAAGCAATGAGCTGCCGTCAAAACTATATCTAGAGCAATTAATGATCCACCACAAAAGGGTTTGCCATACGATTGTAACGAAACTCTGAGTTTTTTAAATACTTTTGGTGTACGTTTGTTTCCATGACTATGTCTTATTATAGACGTAGTAGCTGTATAGAAAAATGCAAATAATGAAACTTTTTTTTTAAATCACNCCTTTAAAGTTTGAATATAAATCCTATTTGTAGTCTAACATTTTTATATTTTTAATATAAGTGAGAAAGTTGGTGACAATGTCTTTTTTATTACTTTTTATTTTTTTATTTTGCAAGAATGTTGAAGCATTCATTTTTTTAACGAACTATTAATCAGCTACGAATACTAACGATTGCTGATATATTACAAATTATGATTACAAGGATAATTATCTTTAAAACAGCCTTTAATAATAAAATAAAGCATGTTACCAATTTTTTAGAATGTATTCTCATTTTTTGAGTAACTATACAGATTACACTTGTATTTTTTCTACATTACATGATTTTCTTCACGCTCAAGATGAAAGCAAAAAATTTCTATAAAAGTGAATTTTCACTTATGCTAAAACGACTTATTTCTCAAGCATTACATTAAAAAGGGTTTGATTTAAATCATCGACAATACTACCATAGAAAGAAGAGTCGTACTTATTTAGTGTCTCGATCTCAGTTTTAACATCTGATACTATTTTATTTAACAATGTTCGTGTCTCGGTTAACGTCGATAACATAGATTTGTAATTTGAATTTTCTAATTCATATCTTTTTAATTCCTTTTGCCACCTTTCATAGTGTTCCGTGCTTGACTCGTTTAATTTATCAACTGATAATTTTAATGCCGTTAAATTACTGACACCAGGGAGAAAAGTGCTTGCAGTTTTTTCAAGCTTATTTAGTTTTGGTATAAGTGATGGCAAACAAATAGTCATTTTTTTATTTAGTATATTATAATTTGTACAACTAATGGGTTGAACCAACATGTCGTTTGTTTGCTTATCCATCATAGCATTGTGTATGAAATCCAAAAACTCGGTAACTTTGGTATATGTTGCTGGTTCCCCAGACTCATCGCAATCTGGTGGTAATGAACTCAGAATTCCAATTACTCTACTTCCCACTACAAGAGGACTACCACTGTTGAGCTGGAAATATAAATAATACAATTCGTTATATGTAACCACACCCTAAATGAAGAAAAAAGTTTTCCAAGCAATCACATGATATTTATTTTCTTTTTATGATCCAAGTTTGACAAGAGATCAAAGAATCTCATTGTATAAATATACGGATTACTTTATCTGACTTTAGGTACTATAAAAAAATATATTATTGCACCTCAATTTTATACTAGTTGATAATTGTGATAGTATTTGTTTTTTAGTTAAAGTCATTGAGATGGATATTGTTTACTAAAAAAATTTAGACTCATACATCGCAAAGATCTTCCAAATTCGACACCACGTCTGTTTTCTGTCCACACAGCAAACTTGGATGAAGGTCGACAGCACACAAGTTGGGTTCAACAATATTCACTCTTTTTTGTTTCAATAACCCCAACAAGGTATTGCCATCATTGTAATAACCTGATACCACTATAATTTTTTTTGAAAAATCTTGATTTTTCCCAGGTAATGATGCCAAACGAATACTGTTAGGCAGACTACCTTCAATAGCGAAACTTTCTTCAAGCTAAAGAAAAAAAAAGTTGTAGTAACTATTTTACCGTGAAGAAGGATACATAATAGTTATGGAGATTAATTTTGCACTTACCCTCAAAACAGCGATGTCATTCCACATTTTGCCGTTATTTTTTTTACGGTATTCCTTGTGGAGATAAACTTTTGTTACAGATCTAGTGTGTGAGTGATTATTATTAACGTTATAAGATCCAGCAACGACCTTGTATGGTTCAGGATCCAGCAAACGGTTTTTGTCATCGTAAAAGCAATGAGCTGCCGTCAAAACTATATCTAGAGCAATTAGTGATCCACCACAAAAGTGTTTGCCATACGATTGTAACGAAACACTGAGTTTTTTAAATACTTTTGGTGTACGTTTGTTTCCATAATTATTTTTGAATATATATGGAGTAGCTGTATAAAAAATGCAAATGATTAATTTTTTTTTTTTTTGCATTAATCACAAAGGAAGACGTACTGAAGTGTAAAATTCGTACAAGATGAGTTTTTCTTTACGAGTAAATTACGTACTATCAATACAAAAAATACAAAAGTATTCAGCTAAAAATACTCGTATTATTTTTTTGAATTTCGAAACAACTGTTAAAGTTTGATTCTACTTTTTTATTTATTCACGAATTTGTCACTCAGAATAACTAGTTATTACTTTACGAATCTTTTTTATTCATTGTGCTAATAGATATTTTAAAAAATTTCCATATTCATTTACAATTATATATTTTAGGCCATACATCGTATTATTTTATTTATTTTTTACTTACAGAGAAATATGCGGTCTATGATAAGCAGTTTAACACTGTTCTTATGGGACAGCGATTGAAATAACCTTATAAAACCTGTTAGAAATNCATACATCGTATTATTTTATTTATTTTTTACTTACTTACCTCTGCTCTCAATAACAAAAAATACTTCTAAAATTGTGAGTAGACAAATGCACTTCATTTTGGATACTAGTAATTCAAAATTTGTCTCAACAACTTCTACAAGAAAATGATTTTAGAAACTAACGCAAAAAAGTCGCGTTCAAGTACTATTTATACAAAAATGAAACGGGAAGCGTAAGCTATTAGAGTGGGAAAGTTGATAAGAATTTGAGACTGATGAACAATTAGTCACCCAACTATCAAATGAAACTTTCCTTAGCTTTTTAGAGGTATGACTGTGTTCAGAATCAGATAACAAACGGTAGTCCATATTTTTTTTAATGTTCTTTTGTAATACGATACTTACTACTCACCAACGTGAAACTTTGTGTCAATTTTCGAGTGTGTCTAAATCTGTTTAGTAAAAAACAATAGCAATTAATTTACAAGTAGTCAAGTAAAACACTTAAAAAACCAATCAGCTTTTAATTCAAGTTCCGTCATATACCTTAACATAAGCCTTCCAAATTTCATGATCTGTGTATGAATAGGACAAGCCATTTATTGCTGAATAATTTTTTAAAATACATTGCAAAAGTAATTATACTGTTGTGTAGACAACTTACTTATCATTTCCATGATAATATCCTTAAGTTTTAAGCTAATAAGTTTCAGCTCGTATTACTTTATTCAGCTAAAGCCATCAGTTTCATTGTTCTTTCTCATTAATTACCAAAAAAATTTTTTTTTTAATTTTTGTTAAACCGTAATTAAAAATAGTTATTGCTGCTGAGATTGTAGTGTTAAGTAAAATAAAAATATTACTTCTTTTTAATTGATGCAATATTTTCAGAGGAACAATAGATCACTGATCCTATTACTATTCCTTTTACTGCATATTTTGTGGTGTCCTTTTTTTTTTAATTTTTCGTCTTCTATTTTTATTGTTACTTTTACGATTTTTAAACAAATTTTATGATTTAAACAAATTTTGTTATTTAGTTTTGATAGCAATTTGAAGTAAAATAAAGTTTTAATTACTAACTGATGAATATATTATTTTCTTACAGTTTTGTATGATTCATTACATTTTTAAACCAAGAACAGCCTGATGTCACTATACGAATTCTCGTTTTACTACAATTTCCGTAAGTATTTTTAAAAAACGAGTAACAGGAACATATAAGCAATTTATAGTGCAAAAACATGGTAAATTCTTAACAAAAATTAATAATGAATCTCTACGAAATGTTTCAACTTTAAAATAAAAGAATTCTTGTTTGAACAACTTGTGTTAATAAAGTTAGTTTACATTATTAAAAGTTTACTTAATTCCTACTATTAAAGCAGTTTTATTTTATACTCGAACCAAGTGATCAAATTTTGCGATACGTTCCCTCGTTCCCATGACGAAATTGCCTTTCGACAAATTTAATACTAATAAGTGTTGTTCCAAGCTAAATTTCTAGTTTAAATTATTTCTGAAAACTATTTTGAAATTAAAAAAGCGATTGTAGCAAAAGTGGGTTAACCTCGTACATCATTAGATTTGTCAATACTTCGTTAAGTGATCGTTGTAAGTCAAAAGTAACTGTTGGTTAATCTAGAAAATTGTTGTACAATATGAATTTTGCATTGGAAAAAAAATTAAAGTTTGAAAAATTATAAAACCTCTGAATCATTTTCTCCAAAGGATACACCTAACGTGTATAATAAAACTCGGCCTTGCAAAATATATACCTTCTTTTTACGTCAAATTAGGTCATGAGGTGTTGCGTTGCACAGCGCCTTAATTTTTGTTTCCATGTTCTTATTGCGGTTTACCAACTAGTAGTTCCACGTCACTTCTTTATATTTTTCTGGTTTTGCTTTTTTCCTATTTATTCCAGAAATCTTTCAGGCATAACGAAATGAATTTTGGTACTAACTACGTTGTCCCACCAGGAGTGAGAGTACTATTGTTTTCTCCGTAGTTGACAATTATTTGACAATGACAATCATCATCTAAAATAAAAAGTTTAGTAAAATTATTTTTTTTCTTCTTCAGATTTTATACTTATTTAAAATACATATTGAAGATCATTTTAATCATAAGTGTCGATTACTCACCCATAAAATGAATAATGGCCTTCAGCGTTGTCTTTTTTTTTTTTTTTTTTTTTTTTTCTGAAAACAGCGAGAGAAAGAGAGTGTTAAAAAAAAAACTAATTAAACAAAATTTTTCAACATTCTAGTATGGAATGAAATTGGCTGTACGTTATAGGCACCTCATTTGCATAGCAATAAAAAAAATTGTCGAAACGTTAAAAATTCAAAATTGTTAACAAGAAATCGGTAAATTAACTTCGAAAATCAAGTTGAAATTGTCAAAGTCATAACTGAGAATCTAGATCGGTTATCGCTATTTGAAGTGGTAAGTAATTTACATAGCTACTGACATGTACTTTCTCCATTATTTTGAGCAAAATTATACTTTTTAATTCATATTGATACGTACAGCTGTCACACGTATGATGAATATGTATTCATACGACTGTGATGTTTCGAAGTAATTAAGAAACATAAATTTTTAAAAATGTTTTATTTTTCGTGAAGTAATAATGAACAATTTTATTCTTGTAAGGTAAGAAAATACTTGTGAGCTATTTGCTGTCATTTATGTAAAAATTATAGCAAGACGTCTGAGTAAACTTCAAAAATAAAAACTAGAAATATGGGTGAGATATTTTAACGAAAGACTGTATTAAATAAAAAGATGTATAAGTTAATGTTTCACTGAAGTATCAACCCCAAGTCACTAAAATACAACAACAAGCTTTTTTCATGCGTCAAATTAATCCTCAATGTTGCAAAATCTCGTCAATTTCGATTTCGATGTTGTACATGATTTTAAACACTTTTTCCCGATAATCATTGAAAATCAAAGTGTAAAGATAAGAATGAATCACCAAGAAAAATACATACGAAAGTATAGCTGTTAAAAAAGTAATTGGCAACGCTTTCTACTACGATCAAAATTTCAATGTTATCGTAGACTGTTTTCTCCCGCCCGTTCACCAATACTAAAAATACTTTGGAACACTTGTGTAGATGTGACTCTTAATCATCGTAAACGAGGTCAGTAAATCATTTTGTCACCAGCACTTTAGTTGCAAGCATGTAATTAGCACGTACTACAGAAGCCAAACAGCTACTTACTGCACGCTCATGACGGAGACAATAGACCATGTTCTTTTCTCAATTTCTCGAACCTGTACATGTAATGTATATAAATACACCATTTTTTATACATCGTTGTCTCACGACTCTATCATAGTAAGTACACAGATTCCATGGCTCGCGTCCAGTTCTTCGAATCCATCCGCACCTCTTGCGGACGATGGGTACCTAAGTCTTTTTTTCTCTCTTCTTTTATGAGTCACTTTGGAGCTGACGATGTTAAAGATATACCAGCCAAGCGCTGTTTTCAGAATGCGATGCGGTGCAGAAAATCTCGAGCAAAAGGGATTGAAAACTCATTGGAACTGCGAACGTAAGACCAACTGCGGAAAATCGGTAGTCGATCCCTAGGAGGCTTGAGTTTTTTATAAAGATCGGAATTCATCACTTTAGCAACTCACTTGAAAATTTTTCAGTACAAAACTCTGAGAATTTTTAAAATCAAACACTTTCATGAATGTTTTGGATTTTTCATAGGAAATCGAACTCTCTATGAATTGAATGAAAAAAAAAGACATGCGTGTAATCGTTGAACTTTTTGAAGTGATAAAAAAAGACGGTTGTGAAGTATCTTCCCTTTAGAAATTTTTTCAAAAATTATGAGACACTCTTTTTATCGCTACAAATGAGCTATAAATGTGCACATGTTTTTGTAAAACCTTTTTTTACTTAAAATTTTAGTTATTTTCGACAGATTCGCACAAAGAATCAACAGTTTGAAGTTAAGTTTAATGGAAATTATCATACCAGTGAAATTAGCTGCTCAGTTTACAGGATATCGATAACAATTAGACGTGAACATGACACAAGTGGCAATATGGCAATATGGGACCACATTTTTGATTCGATATAGTTGCATGAATCTTTTTAAAATACAGTTTCAAAAGATGCATGACTACCTAACTTATGTCTATTAGTTCCACGTCATATTTATTAACAATGTCGAGAAACATTTTTTTAAAACTTCGTCAATTTTTTCTTATCCTAATTGATATTAAAATATTATTTTTACTTCTACCAATGTTTCTATTCACTAAATGACAATATTTGTAAAAAATAACGCGTTGATTGTTAATTTATTTTTAAAATGTCCATTAACCTTTCTGACACTAACTATCTGAATTTTGTCTATAATTGGTTAGTAACATTGTGCATATTTCCCACTAAATCTGATAGTTTCTCTCGAATGTCTAAAAATAAATGCTTTATGAGCCATGTATACACATAAATCAAAAATAAATAATATACAATAAGTACATGATTATATATATATATGTGTGTGTGTGTTAATTAGAATCAACTTGAGGGCTTTATTTGATTTTCGTGTGACGACCTAGTTTAATTTGATGTGATAAAAAATAGCTGTAGCTGACAAAATCAGCTTCACGCAAAGAAAGAAATATCTCAAGAAAATGATTGAATAAAGCAAAAATTTATTATTAACAAACAAAATGCGACTCTTAGTCATCGTAATCGTCACAAACTGAACGTCTTTTCTCAAAACAAATCAGCAACAAATTTATTACATGACATCTCTTGTCATCTTCATTCGAACGCATTTTTCTTATTTTACTACACATTCAAGACAGAAAACTTGGACATATTTCACTGTAAATTATATGCTCGATTGATCCGGAACAAAAGTAGCAAACATAATTATATACAGTCGATAATAAAACCACAGTGCACGAACCAAGTTCCATTTAAAAAAACAAACTTTTTAAAAAAATACAAGCAACGAAGGAGACAGGGAGAGAGAGGGAGCCCCGAAGAAGTGGGTGAGGTAACCCGAGCTTATTTTCAAAGTTATGGCACCCCCGAGGGCGACCGTAAATCCGCTGACACAAAGTCCCGACAGTCCTTATTACGCGCGAGTCTCGACATGCTTCATTTGAATTCCTCGACATTTTTTTTTTCCTCCACCGATTCTCATAAGTTCCCCCATAACTCGTAGACAATAAACCGAACTAATTTTCCGAAGCCCCACATACATCCACAGAGGAGTCAATTAGACGTGTAGAAAACCACGCGGGCGGAGACGCTAAAACAAGACGAAGACAATGAGAAACGAGCGCCCACACGCTTCATAAGTGTGTACGAGGGGCGCATACCTTGTACACAGAGGGATCAGTGGCCTATACCGGCTCTCGGTCTTGTTGTGCAAGAATTTTATCATACATACTTGCGCCACACGGTACTTGTATACACACTGATCGAAAATACGTTAGCGAAACTCCGTATTATCGCCCGAGAAAGTTTACATTATCGAACTTGACTGTCTATTATATCGCATACGTATACGCGTGTGCGACTTTGCGCGGAGAGCCAGAAATTTCCGGCCACGTATACATGCACTCGCGTGTATACTCGTCTTGATCGGCACTACATATAATATGTACATATATACACATTGGTAAAGATAATGCGCGCCTGTATGTGTATATACACCCCGAGCCCCATTGATAGTTTTATTGTTGTCAGCAACTTTTTATCTTTCTCTTTCTCAGAGAGGGTTACCCGAAGTATATATACATATACACTTGCACGAGCCAAGAGCACTTATGCAAGTATGCGGTACTACTGTACCACACGCTTATACCTACTCTAGTTTGATACAATACACCATACGTAATAATATGTACCCGGAGAGAGGGTGTGCGTGCGTGTACGTATACACATATACTTGCGCGTACGCGGTAGTGTATCTGGAATGACATTTGCGAGCGAGCGCTCAAGGTATACTACGTGTGGTACGTTCGCACAGTTATGTATATATATTACATGTATGGATCGCAAAAGGAAGTCATTATAAATAATTAATTGAAAAATTTCAGAAAAATTCCGCGAGACATGCGTCCCAAATGTTTTTCTTCCTTCGTGGCTCTCCACTTCATGCCGTTTATATGATAATTATCTGTGAAAATGTATTTTTTTTTTTTTTCTGCAGCAACGGTGCAACGAGTGAACGCTGACTTTTCACCCGGATATATTGCATTGTTGCTGTGATAATTGTTGCGAGCACGCTCACCCCGGTGTTCGGTCACACTATGTACTTTCATACGTATACATGTATATAAACTACGAACAAAAAGTAGCTACGGTTTTTCGTTAACGTTGCAGAACAAATTATCAAATACTGATTTTGTTGGTGCTTTGGTGAAATGAATAAAACTTTTTTGTACGGGACATTGTGTCGTTTGTTTCTTGTTACACTCTGATCTGATACAGATGGTACCTCACGTATTAAAGTGTTGATTTTTTTTTTTCGTGAATTCATTCAATAGAAAATAATACAACAATTATTTCTAACGTCCATCAGGTCAGGGAAGTGGGTTTAAAAAAATATCTGACCCATATTTTTATCTTTTTCCATATAAACAATTATGGATCGTGATAACGCACTTTTAAATTGTTACCGACGTTACTCCATGGTAAAACCATTTTCACACAATAACGTTATTTGAATGCATACATATACCCTTGTGACCTTTAACATACCGTTAAGCACCTCATTATTATAGTAACTGGGTAAATTGGGCTTCAAAAAAGAAAAAATGAACCGAGTTGTGGACTGAGCTGTTATCTTTTTTGTAATCAATGTGTCGAAGTCTGGCTGAACCCACTATTTAACCATCAACTGGCATTATTTGTATATTAATACATAGATACGCAGATTTCGTGCTTGTTAATAACCATCTTGCTTGTACACTGGATTTAAATTGGCCTAGAGTATAGAAAATTCGGGTAACTGATTTATTATTGCCTCTGTCGTTTGAATGAGCGATAGTACAAAGCGTGTAAATTAGTCTTTTATTTGACATGTACAAAATAAATTAAAAAAAAAAAAAAAGAGAAAAGCAACGTAAAAGGAAAAATTACAGAGTATTATTGACTTATGCATCACTATACAGACGTACGAATAATGTTATAAAATAAACTTGTGTTAACAAATCTTAAGAATAGTGAAGCTATGCTCGTTGAAATCTGAACCGACAATCAAGCCACAGTGATTCTTAATACACAAGTTTCATGTAATTCTGTAAAAAATTAACTGAATTTAAAGTAATACAAATGTTTCATTGCCAACCAATTCTCAATAACCTCTTTATAAAAGCTCATGTAAAGCTGAAAATCTTTATGATTTAATATGATTTAATCTTGCAAGCCATAAAGTCTTCTGAAAATTTGACGTTATTTATATTAATATAAAATGAGTGTCATAGTTTTTGTAAAATTCATGGATAAAACTAATTATTACGATGACTTCCTTGATTAAAAAGCAGATTTATTCAAGTCACTAGTAAGCAATTTTTTATTTAAAAATCCATACTTTTTGAACCAAACAGTGAAAAACAACGTTTCATCGTACGTACGATTAAAAAAAACCAGGAGTTTCCAATGGCGTATGTTGTTATTGTCGGATAGGTCGGTTACTACAGTCAAATTGTGATTGGTCATAAAAAAAAGTAATGAGTATCATCGTATAAACAGGTACTAA